TATTTATCCTTATTTAATAGAATGATTTACTCTAAAATAAAAATAAAATGATTTATTCAAGGGGCTTTTGCACACATAGCTCATATTATAAAACCAAATAAAATAAATAGCCTATCCTTTTGTAAATCTCAAAAGTGGCCTTTTCAATATTTAATTGATATATAATTTACAAAATTATCCTTTTAAAATTATAACATTTTACTTTTTGCAGATATCAAAATAGACTCAAAACACGAGAAATCAGGCGAATGAGAGAGACAAAAGTGAGCTACAGTCACGATAGAAGAAACAAATAGATCAAACTTGAAGACGTAAGAGAGAGAGTAGTGTGAGCAAGTCATAGTCACACTAGTAAGAGACAAACGAGAGGCGAGAGACAACGATGATACTCGACAGAATAGAGCATGTTGGCAAGACAATAGAGCTACAAATTTTTTTACAGAATATGTTTAATCCATTTTGAGAAAATGATTATGTGTTTTTTGTATTACTGATATGCGATACTACATTATTAATCTATGGTTATATATCAATGATAAATAAGTTTATGTCAGATTTTTTGATTATATTGATCTACAAGGGTATATCAGAAAATTAGAAACATAAAAACAATATAATCATTTGTCCAAAATATATCAAACTAGGTTCAAAAAAAAATTCTAAACACCTTAGCTTATTATATAAATCAAATACTTAAAATAATAAAATAAAAAATCATGAACAATGAGAAAATAATATGTATTTTTTGTTAGTAATTAAAACAAATTTTATGATCAATGACAACAAAGAAGAGATATGAAAAATAATTTATTGATTCAATGAAGATATTACTCAGATAAATAAAGATGATGAAAATTTGATGATAGATAATACTTTTCAACTTTCAAAGAATAGAACGTAGGACAACTTCAATTCAAATATTGAACTACGTAATGTAAAATGCGGAGTCTGTTGATAGAGTTTAGTCAATGTCAAATCTTAGTTTCATAATATACTTAGGAAAAATAGAAAGGGAGAGAGAAAAAAAGCATTGGCATATGAAACCTTTCTCATTTGTGATGAACAATGATTGTAAATGCAAAATTCAGCCAGTTAAATATTAGTTACAGAAATAAATTATATTTTAATAATATATTTATTTTGACGATAAAAAAGAAAAATCACATTAATTAATTTTATGAATTGGCCATATTTTAAAATATTTAAAAATCTCATATATAATTTATGGAAACTATATTTTTTGAGGTCATTGAGCTAATTTACTCTTTATTTAATAGGGAGACTTTTGAAAAAAAAAAAATAATACTTGCACCTTAAAAAGTTAAAAATACTTTATACTTTTTTAATATCTAACAGCTTAAAAAATATTATATTTTTTAATAAAACAGTATAAATTAACTTTTATCATTGCAACCTAAAAAAATAGAAGAATCAAAATCTCATTGCTAGGCGACACCATTGTCGGACCTTTAAGCTTGAACGCATAATCAAGCGTGCATTGGAACTAACAACCACAAACCAAGATTATTAAATTTTAATTTAACCTACTACTTAATATCCAATCTAATTTTGATATACTTTTTTAAGTCATACATCGAAGCGAATGTAAAAACACAATCACTTAAGTCACTGACTCTATGAATCGTCAATGGATCTGGATCCAGATTGCTTTGCAATACAATCAATGAACGCATAAAACAGAAAAATAAAAATATAAACAACTGAATTTCTCTTGAAAGTTGGCATATATAATTCAGGGAAAACTATGAATAGGTCCCATTAAAAGACTTATTTACAAACAAGTTTTGCAAAATTTAAAAACTATAGCCAAGTCTTTTGGGACTTCAATGTAATGTGATTGAGGTGTAAAGTAAAAATTTGTGATTCATAATTTAAATTTCTTATTTGATGCTTAATATAACATGGAGTTAATTGTGTTGGAGTTTTTGTATTTGTGCGTCAAAAGAAGTTTTGCTTTGCTTGTATATGTACTGTAAGATGAGAATTTAAGCAAGTAGATGGGCTAATGAAAGAAGCGGGCTTGCACACATAACAACTTGCTAATATTGTTGAGATCCAGCTTTTTACCTTGTGCATGAGAAAGATGTGGTGTCGGGCAGTTTAATCACCATTAATTATTTTTTATTACGATGTTCAGAAACAGTTTTCTTTGATGTTTATAAAGTCACATTTAATTATATTTAGGCCCATTAAGCTGTACTTAATCATCTTTAAATCATCCATGTTTGTTGTGATGGAGAATTAATTGTTATTAAAATGAAAATGATATTTGCTTTTTTTCAAAATGGAGACTTCTTCACTAGAGTACAACAATTCTTCTTTATCAAGTTAATATTTTGTAGTTGTTATTAGATGAATTAATTATTGTTATAATAAAAATGAGACTTGTTTTTGTTTTTTAAATGAGAATTTGTTCACCATATCACAACATTTATTTCTTTTCACCATCAAATTAATTTTTTGGAGTTGTTAATAAGAGAATTAATTGTTACTAAAATGAAAATAAGATTTGTTCTTTTTTTCCAAATGGGAAATTGTTATTAAAAGAGTATATACATATATATATATATATATGAGAAGTAATTTTATCTTTTCATAATAAATTTTAATTCAATTGGGGTCCTTTAATCCTATAAAGTAATATTAAAACTTGATCTTCAAACTACCTCTCTACGCAGGACAACGAATATATTATAGATATTCATGACGGTGGTGAGTCAACGGAAATCTATATATCATGCTATGGAGCCATCCATTCAACAATCTTTTGACAATCAAATTACTTCTTTTCATGAAAACGATTAAGGGTGTTCAAAACCGATCTAAACTGAAAGGACCGATCCAAATCAATCCAAACTGACAAAAACCGATCAAAACCGAACAACAATCAGGTCCGCTTTGATTTTTATGATATAAAAACCGATTGGTTCGGTTCAAGTTCAGTTTTAAATACAAGAAACCGAACCAAACCGAACCAAACTTGATTAAAAAAATTCTATTTATTTATTTGTAAAATATATAACCATTTATCTACAAGAAGCATTTTGTTTTAAATTTTTTATAGTAATAAATAAACATTTTTAAAATACTTGAATGAAAATGCATAATATTAAGTGATTATAATAATCATGCTATGATCATCATTTAATTATTTACAACCTAAAAGCCTCAGCATTCAATTTATCTACAAGAAACATTTTGTTTTGAATTTTGTATAATAAGTTTTTCATTAGTTATTAAAATATAGATACATAGATAAATATTTTCAAAGGATTTTAATGAAAATACATAATATTAAATAATTTTAATCTTAAAAACTTATATCAATTTTTATGATTAATTATTGTTATCACATTGAAATTTTATTATATTTTTATACCTCTATTTATGAAAAAAAGGAGTCAAAAAGAATTAAATTTAATTTTAGTACATAGCACCATTATGAAGATGGAGAAAAGGAAAAAAAATTAAACAAGTGCATTAAAACTTGATCAAGACCTTAACCAAATTGAACCAAACCGAAAATAAAACTGAATCAAACCGAACTTCATAAAAACCGATCAGGTCTCAATTATCAGTAAACCGAATGGTTCGGTTCGGTTTGGTTTTTGCCCAAAATCAAACCAAACCGAACCTATGAACACCCCTAGAAACGATCATTATATGATGACTACTAGCTAGTGATGATCTTGAGTCAGCAGAACTCAATCAAGCTATAGAGCGATCCATGCAACAGTTGTTTATAGTTTCGGCTGCAGAACAAGTTATAGCGTCACTCAAGAAGCTCAAAATGTACAACGATGAAATAAAGGCAAGTCAATGCAGCATTTGCTTTGAAAATTTTGATGAAGATGGTAATTACAGTGATCAAGTTTCAGCATTGCCTTGTTACCACTTTTTTCACAATAATTGTATTGTAAAATGGCCAAAAATAGGCCACATATGCCCATTATCTCACTTTGAATTGCCTATGGAGTCGTGATTTCAAAAATTATATGCTCCACTAGCCAAAATTGAACCGAAACAAACCTAGTCACATGATTAAAATTATATAATTTAATTAAAATATATTCCCTCTATTCAAAATTATAATGTATTTTTAACCGAATCTTACCCCTAATAAAATAGTTACCTACTTTTTAATTAACTCTATCTTTTCATATTTATCCCTATTAAATACCTTACAATAAATATAAAGTCATTATCAATAAGGGTAATTTTAAAAAAAAAACAATGATTACACCTCAAAAGACTAAAAATACTTTATATTATTTAACATCTAATTTCTCCAAAAATTTCTTTTACTTTTAAACCGAGGGAGTACATAAATATTCATATTCATATATATATATATATATATATATAAGGCATTAATTTATAAGTAAATGAATTATTTATGCGTAAACCACACATAATCTAACAAAACATAGTTAATAAAGCACAAATGTGAGATACTGCTACTTCTTTAGAACTCAAAACAACGTTGTTTCAGACTCAATAAGAACAGAAAAATCTAACTCCCTACAACCCCATCCAAACTCTTAATTGGACAAACTAGAAGACCAGTTAACTGTAGTCGGTCTTAATACCATGACAGAGTTTAATAGTCAAACTTACAATATATCAAGGAAACAAAAGTCCACAGGAGTAACTGTTTCCCAAAGCTTTGTCGTTACATTTTTGTTTTTGCCTTCAAAACATAATATTTAAATTCGCTTGATTGACTTAAATTTGTGATATTTGTAATTTCACCTCTAACCAAATTGTAAATAGGAAGAATTACATCAAAGGACCATTCAAAAATTATTTATAGATAATGATTAATACAAAATAGATTGTTGTTAAAATAAAAACATATTTTTTAAAAAAATGAAACTTGTTGTTAGTTTTTGTTTGTGAATAATTTATTTAAGTGATCCTTGAATGTAATTTTCTCTTATAAATATCACTTTAATTTCTATACATTAATTACATAATAATTTTTTCAAACAAATCACTTTATTTAAACTAAATTATAATAATGGCTACACAATTTTAATATTTACATATGAGGTTTTCATAGGTTTTGTCCCATTCCTATTCGAACTCACGACCTTGTAGGTAAAAGAATGGATTTGCATTTGGTGCTCATTACTGCATACTCATCTCTTGACCCTCCATTTCAGTCTAAATTAATCTCTGCCATTTATTTAAATTAATTTTTAAATATTTTAATATTATATATATTTATATAAAAAATAAAAAATTTAATAAATTTATTTATTGCCAATCTGGAAAATACATATTTAATCTAACAATTCAATTTAACATTAAAAAAATTTATAATTTTATAATTTAATTATTCATATAGACTCTAGACAGTTCATATATAATCTATGTAATCTAATTTGATATTTAAAAATTTATAAATTTTACAGATTAATCATTTAAATAGTCCAGATTTAATATTAAAATTTTTATATTTTTTATTTTAATAAATATAATATTAAAAATGTTTAAAAATTAATTTAAAAGAACAGTAAAGATCATTTTAAATTGAAATGAAGGGCTGAAATTGTTCCTTGATCTGATAAGCAGTCGATGTTTGCGGACGCGTAGGAGCATAGCCCACTAACCAGCAAGCCGCAAGGTCTGCCAAAATTCAAGAGAGATTATGAATTGGAAATGAACAAATTAATTAATTACCAAAATTCACGAGTCAACCACGACGGAGCCAACAAACCTTAACCAAGTGTTTTCACGAGTCGATGTAATTTAGAAAGCATTGCTCACATGACCATCACGTGCAGATCCAAATTATTTGTGGGTCGACACGTATCAGACAAGTTCTATGCCTCATCGTGGTCGCATGATTTTATGTTGAATCTGATTGGATAAAGGTATATGATAGTCAAGGATACAATAAGGATGCAAGAGTAACTTTGGTCCCATTTCATCATATCCACAAGAGAAAGTAGAGGCAAAGGCTATAATTTTTAATATACTTTTTCAATGAAATATTATTTATCACTATTTTTTTAAAAAAAATTGGAGATACAAGACATTTTGTATCCACCAAAACTACACTTTTATTCTTTTTCATTATGGAATATTCAACTCAAACAAGAACAAACACAATTTGCTATGTTGGATAGCCACCTAAATTTGCAACAAGCCAGGCGAGGGCAACTGTGTGTGTTTGATTCTTAATTTATAAAAGTCAGTTTAATAAAAGTTTAATTGATAAAAGTCAATTTAGTTTGGCAAATTAAAAGTTATTTGAATTAATAAAAATTTATACTTTTGAAATATATTTTTCATTATGCAATGATCAAAAAGGACATTGCTTCATGATAATTTATAATTTTTATTATACAAATATAATAAATTAAAAATATTTTTAAAAAATGCGAAACAAATTTAAAATAACATAAAATTTAAAATGTTAAATAATAAAAATAAAAAATATATTCAATAAGTTCCAAAACAAATATCTTACCTTTAGCTACGTTTTACATGCTCTATTATTTTCTGCAATGAATGCCGGGGGGGGGGGGGGGGTGGGGGGTAAGTGATGCCTGTAATTCCTGTGTTTCTCAGTGCATAGCCGGGCAATCAACTCGTTTGTTTCAGAAAAATTATTGCTCTGGAAGTCCATTGCAATATGATCAAAGAATTAAACAAAAAGTCTTTTTCTAGGATGGTTGGAAGAGAAGGCTGACTGGTGCTTCACCTGCAACTAAGAAACCATTTTTAGCTACGTTTTTAAAATATTATTAATATTAATAAAAAGATCTTGCTCAACAATCTCCAAAACTGTTGAGGACGATCGAAGAGAACATTTTTTAAGGTTGTTGAGCGAGACCTTTTTATTAATATTAATAATATTCTTAAAAACTTAATAAATGATAAAATACAATAGCAAAGAGCAAAAGAAGACCGAAGAGAACGCTTCTGAAAGTTGTTGAGCGAGACTTTGTAATTAATAATATTCTTAAAAATTTAATAAATGATAAAGCATAATAACGTTATATAATCCATATAACCGACCCCATCTAGTGAGATAAAGTTTGTTGTTGTTGCTATTGTTGATAAAATTACTTGATATCTGATACTATCGGGTCATATTTGAATATTGTGAAGTGCAGTCTAATTAATAATAGTTTTTGTTTCAGGTAACACATTCAAATATATAAGAATCTGAAGCATCCTAACTCCTAAACCTAAAGCAACCATAAGATAGCCAAAGTGGCCACGGACGTTTAGTGTGGATCGGAAATTTTTTTTTTTTTTGGGGGGGGGGGGGGGAATGTATCCTGAGGGTCTCATCCCTGGCTCTTTATACCACTCTCATCACTTTTTCTTCTGAGCCCCGGTTCAGTGGAGAGGGTTGGCAGGTAAAAGCAGGACAAAAATTATATATGCAAGAGAATGATTCCCAGAAAAAAATGTGCATATACAAAGAGGTAAGATCTTCAGCCACCCAAACCTGGGAAATATTTTGAATCTGAACCTTTATTTTGCCAGGAAAAAAACTGAACCAAAGTCCAAAAGAGATAATATTAGCAAATTACTAACCATAGCATAACATTACTTGCTAGCAAAAATAAATAAATAAAGCCAAATATTCTTGAAATAAAATGTTACTGATAACTATAAGGAAACATTTATTTGCTTTTTGCGGGGTAGATACACAATTTACTGATCTAACTTTCATTGTCCCCAGAAACGGAGGAGTATTCTGTACACTGACCTCTACACAAGTAACCTATAAACAACAAAACAAAACTGACAAACAGTAAAGAAAGATAGAACAAGTAAAGTATCCGCAGGCTACCTATTGCACATGGTTTTTGCCAATAAATAGACGAGAAGACTTGAGACAACTTGCCTTGCTCCCACTTCAGCAGCAGAAGAACCAAACATCTTCTACTGGCATACACAGCATGTCTTTCTCCATCCGTAGCAGGCATCTTCTTGGTATGAATTCCAGAAAAGTCAGTGGAAGTCACTAACAATGAAAAGTAAACAAGGTATATACTGCCTGAGCCGCCAATAGGTTTGGTAACCATACAAATACAGTCTCATCTGATAGCACTGCCTATAGGGTATCTTGAACAAGAGCAACTACTGATTCTACTCTGTACATTTCAAGTCATTCAGATAAACCTGCGATTGAATCACTATATTCCCAATTTTAAATCCTGGAATCACTGTGAACCCCACCTTTGCCCTTCTTTTGTTTGGCCAGGTAACTCTCCTTGTAACATCTTCCATGTATACCATAGAGAAGTCTACATCTCTTTGCACTTGAAAAATTTCCACCACAGGATCAAAGGCATGGGACAACTTATGTAGTGTCCATATGGAACTAGCCATTCTAACAAATGCCTCATAGAACATGCTTATTGACCTCCATGACTTCAATACCGTTTCATTTCCATCCAGATCAATGAAAATGGATGATTCCATTGTAGGATGGACAAGTCTCTCATATTGTTGCTCACAAAATTTCGAAAAATCACAAGTAGGATGGATGCTAAGCAACTCCATTGGATTGCTAGATACATGCTCAAGCAGTTGCTTCAGAAATCTATTTTTATTCGCTGAATCTAAAGCAAGGCCATCAGACATGAGTTCACCAGAATTCAGCTCAAAATCTTCAGAATCAAAACCTTGAAACATCACCAAACATACATATGATAAAAGAGCAAACTGATTGTGCCCTTTCTTCGCATAATTGATATTCGGATGAACTGCAGTAGCCACTACATCCAAGTTCCACCCAGCTTTTCTCATCAAACTAATCAATATCTTAGTAAATTTGTGAGTTTCTCTAGAAGCATCATGCAAGACAGAATCAAACACTCTTACAGTCAGCAAAACATCAGTAGAAGAACTCAAATTACCGCATAACTTCTTGGACAACTTGACATTAGTCTTTTGAATCTCATCCAGCTTTTTCCTCAGAACTGAAACCTCATCATGTTTTTGTTCAAGCTCTGACTGTAAGCGGTTCGAAACAGTCCCAAGAGTTCGCAGCTTGTTCTGATTTTCTTCCACCTGAGCTCCTAAGCAAGACCTGATTGGGAATTCAGAATCAAAATCAGGATTCCTTTGCCAATCTCTATAGAATTTCTTGAATTCGGATAGTCTCTCGATGTGTGAAACCAAAACTCTATCAGCCGCCTTCACATTTTCCTCAATAAATGGAACATGAGCAGTCTGTAACTGAACATACGAAGCTTCAAATGACGAAATCGTAGCGAAGATCGAGGAAATCACCGTGTGGATCATCTGAGTATCAAAAGCTCTGACTTGACCCTCGCTCATTGACTTCGTCAAAGCCACTTGTTGAGCCGGCAACGATAATTTCTCAGTTTCCTCTAACTTCTTCACCTGGCTCTCAGCTGGAGGCTTCGCAACTGGCAGCTCAGGGGTTGACGGCGTCGTCGTTTCGGGAGAGGAATTGCCAGCTGGATCTGGTTTGATGACCACAACTTTCTGATCAGTGATGAAATCTTCAGCAGAATCCAAGAGGGAGAAGCCATCAGAGTCATCACCGGCGGCGGTGGCGGCATGATCTTCTTCGGCGAAGAACTCGAAGGTTTTGGTCTTGAAAGCGAGGGCAAATTTCTGGAACATCTCGGAGATTTGAGGAGGTTTTGTGGAGGAACCATCCATTTCGGGCATATTCTGGACGAATTAAACCTCGCAACTTGAAGACGTGAAAGCAACGAAGAATCGAATCAAATCAAATGAGTATAAATCCAACGGAAGAGAAGCATAAGAATTTCACAGCTCTTCGCTTTGGATGTCTTCGAAGAAATGTATGTGGGAGTGGGCTTGGGCCAGGTCGGGCATAATGCCCCCACTTTTGCTCTTCTTGTTCGGAACAATTACAGTAAACTACCCACAAAGGAAAAATTACATTCTATACCCAAACCTGACTAAATTTATCATGAATGACCTTACATTTTTTTTTTGGGAAAAAACAAAAAATAGACTTGAAAGTTATTTTATGGGAAAATAAATTTGACGTTATCATTAATGGGCTGACATCTTTTATGGTGAAAATTTTAAATTTTGGTAATTATAATAATTCCTTACAACTTAAAATGTCTATTATAACCTTTAAGAATTTAGGGTTATAGAATAGGGATGAACAATTTTAGTAATTTTTTGTGCAATGAAACAATTCTAATAGTTGAAAGTATAATCTTGAAGTCTCTTCTAACTCTAAAAAATAATAATAAAATAGGTACTCCTCTCTAATATTGAGTTTGAGGATGAGAATTTTGACAAGCCTTACACTCTCTTGTACTTAAAAAATCATGTGAAAATCTTTTTTATATTTAAAAAATTTTAGGTTCTAAGATTTACTGAGACGAAAGCATGTTTTCATATTTAAAGAATACTTACAAAAATGATATAAATCATGTTTAATTATCAAAAAAAATTATAATTTAAGAAATATTTTTCTTACTTTATTTTGCTTCAAAATCCTTGATCTTTGGACCCAAACTAATCTGACTAGCTGCTTGTGATCACGTTTTAGGGGACATACCTCTCATCAACAATTTAATCATTATTACATACATAGGATTCAAACTTGAGATTTTTTTTCATTAAAATAGATCAATCCTCTAGTCAATTAATCCGAGTGCCAACTAGTATTTAAGAAATTATTAATTGTAGTTTTTTATAGAAAAAAAATTGAAAATAATGTAACAAAAAAGTTAAAATAGGTATAAATAATCCTAAAAGATTTTCCGTAATCATGCGACGGTTGAGTGATAACCTTTTGGGTGGAAAAGAAGCTTCAATATCAAATTTAGATTCTTTACTTTTGTGAATGATTTAAGCTTTTTCTGGGTTTTTATGTCAAATTTTATTAAGCTTGGGTATTAGACATTATTTATACGCTTTTGCGCTCTCTTTTGGCCTTTACAATTTTTTATTTCAACTTTATTGATTCTTTCATGTAGGCGGAGGTGCCAACTTTTCAAGCATTAACGGTAAGAAAGAGGCAAAATGCTACGGTAACAGCTAAAGAGACCATTCTCTTTGTGACCGTTGGTTTTGATGAATAATGATAACGATAATGATGAATACACCTGAACGCTTCTCCTTATGAAAAGGTTTACTAATTTTATATATATATATATATATATATATTGTGTGTGTGTGTGTAAAGTGATTAACAATTAATTAATTTTATCATAACTAAAATTTTAAAGAAAAACTAAAAATATAACAAGTAAATTTACAAAACTCCCCTAAGCTTATTTTATAGAACAAATTAATTGAGCTAGATTCAAACATTGTGGAGCTCAATTAAAAATAGCTCTCTCAAAGACATTTTATGCATTTGTATAAGCTCAAACTCAATAACCCATATTTAAATGATCATAACTCCTTTCACTGAGACCAACTCCTTTTGATTTACTCTCCTAAATTTTAAAACCATATTCAAATACTTCCATTAATCTTTAAAACTTAATAATGAAATCTACTAAACTTTTAAATTGGTGTAGATAATCCCCAACAATTAATTATACCCCTATGAGCTTTATTTTGTGCTCATGTAATTCTCTCAAAGTATATAATTCTCACAAATTTAAAAGTTATATACAAGTAACCCTTAAATTTTAAGCTATGCACAAATATGCAATGAACAAAACCTAATAGTATGTGAGTTATCTGCATGAATGTAAAAGTTTAAGGGGGTCTATTATAATGTTTAGAGAGATTATTTTAGAGAATTTACGTATAATTTGGCCAATATTCATATGAACAATGTGGTGGATTGGTAATGTATCCATACATTGTTTTCTCATGTTCCAAAATTTTAAATATTTGATTTAAACTAATTCAGTTAATAACTTGCAGAAACATTTTTAGGAGCATACCTCATACTGGAAATTTTAAAAACTCAAACTCAACTTCTGATTTAGGTGGATCAACTCTCAAACATGTGATGTATTTATAATCCGGGCACGAATTTTCTTTTCTTTTATTTTGCTCTTTTTGTGCAATAACACAAAAAGTTTACATGGGGACCAAGAGCTTAGTTAGAAAATCTTAAGTGCAATTTGATAATTATATTTAAAACTTAAATGCATTATTTATAATTAAAACTCATAAATTTATAATTATTTTTTCAACTCATTTTAAAAAATTATTGAGAATATAATTATTATTAATTTAATATTTTGAGACTCTATTGTAACTGTACCTGTTGTTTCTTTTAATTAAAGTTATTAATTTTTTTTTTTTTTGGGAAAGTGTCCTTGTCTGCTTTTGTTTTTATGATACAGCTTTTTGGCCACGGTTGGGTTAGGATTTTTCGTAGAAGCGACACTTGTTTTGATTCCTTTCCACCAATCAACAATAAGGGATCAACGAGAAGACGATAAGGGAAACACTGTTTTGCCAATCGCACTCATGGCATCAAATTTTGTTCTGTTTCTTCACGCCATGAATTCATGACAACCCATGGATTAATTGAAGATATCCTAGTGCTTCTCTTTTTTTACTTTAAATGCTATTTTTTGTTTGTCACTAATGCAATTTTTCTATGGTTGTGGTTAGACTAAAATGTAATTTTTGTCCTAAGCCCAATCATGCCAAAGTCTTCTAGAAGGTATGTAGTTGTAGGATGACTTGGTGTTGGATATTATAAATATTTTTGAGTATTTCAAAAAGAATTATTATAAATTAATAATATTAATTATTATTTAAGTTTATTCATTATTTTATAACATATAATTTAAACAATATTATTATTTGAAACCGTTTTTTAATTGTAATTAAGGTGGTTTTATTGCCCAGCATTATCAGATCTACCTATAAAAGGCAATACTTGCCATAGGTTCAGTGAGAGATTTGAAACTCTCGACCTTTCTCTCTTCTTCTATCATTCTAGTTCATTGTGTAGTTACCTGAGTATATTATGTAAATTTTTGTTGTTTTGTGTCCTTACTTTTAGTAGAAGGAGTCTGTTTAATCATGGAGAGCTGCCGCTTGATCAACCCAGTGTGACGGAATAGCTCTTAAGGACAGTGTCCTTGGGCATGACTCAGACTAGATTTCATCAGCTATCGCCAACAATCTTAAGAGCTATTTTCTAGCATGTTATGGCTGTAAGAGCCAATAGAGGCACGTTGAGAGGCAATGAGTTTTGATGGTTTTATGAATAGAGTCAAGTGTTGGGGCACGTGTGAGTAAGTATATGCTGAAATGGGCAATGGTGAGTATAAACACCAAGAATGCTAAATTTGCTCCAAAATCTGAACTCATTTAAGACCTCAGTGGACTATGCATTTGAGTTCAAGCATGGATACCACATGCTTATGATATTGGCAAAGTGATTGAATGTTGTGTAAGGAGAGCATTCACATTCCTTCAGCTACCAAATAATTGTGGAAGTCGACCCCACCATAGCTACGAACGTATGGCTCAACAGAATCTAATTATTCCATTGCAGTTCTTCCTCCTGCACGAACATGGGGTCCTATTCTATTTCAGGTACCTATATCTTTCTACAGTTTAAAATTGCAATTTGTAATGTTATTTTAGTAGTTAAGAATTGGCATAAATGCGAATGGGTGTTTGATAGATTAATAGAGATAACAGTAATATGAGCACACCTCATCCACAAGCTTGATAAGATTTGTGGCTTGAGTTTGATGCAGAAATATTTAGATACTACGATATGCATGGAAAAAGCTTCGTAGAGTAGTCAACTAAAGGGAATTCGTTGAGAAAATAAAAGGGAAAAATATAAACATCTTGAATAATGACAACCAGAGATGATTCTTAGGCCTATCATAGGAGTTGCAGTATGTGGCTATTTTTTTTTTCCTCCGGAAAATGGCAAATGATCAAACAAAACTATAGATGGTGATGATTAAACTAATTTAAGGAATAAATTTTAAAGGCCATTATTGAGTGCATGACCCCTTCAACAATTGTAATGAGAATTTTAATTTGGCCGATACGAACATAAACAATTCAGCAAATGATTAGGATTTACTCAGCAATCATTAATAAACTGCAATGATTAGAATTTATTATTTATTATCATTTCCATAACAGTTGTATGAAAACTTTGGTTTTTTTGGTCAATGAAACCGTTGGAATTAAACCTTAATATTTTGTTTATATTAATATGGCAGAATTTGCAATTTTCTGTGATAGTATATTTAATATATATATAGTTTGATGAACTTAATAATTTTTAGAGAATTAAAATATTTGCAATTTGATGATGTCGAATTTGTATTGCTATGTGAATTTATTAGTGCATTCAATTTTGTGGATATTATGTTCAAATTCTTGACTGGCCGAGGGAGATATTGTTAAGTTTGTAAGTTTTGAGCAAGAATAAATTGCTTTGATATGATACCATCATTAATATGCTTTAAAGTATCCAAATGTAGGTGCATGGCATTTTTTTTTACCGTAAAAAAAGGAATTGATTAGGCATCACTTCGAATATCAATGCCATTAATTTGTTGAAATTATATTTCAAATATTTATTATGGCACCATAATATCTCATAATAAAGTTAATTTATTTGATCGGTAAAAGTTATCCAATATTCTTTGATTGGATACGTTGCTTTATTTGCCTTTATATTTTAAGATGTAATTACTTTATTCATTGCATAGCTTATTTAAGTTAAGGCATGAGATATTTGAGAAGATATATGTAAAATTTGATTTTAGAAATTTGTTGACTACATTAATTAGGTGTAGGCAATGATTATTTTTTTTCTAGCTCTAAATAAAAAAAATGTTATATATGGTCTTTGCTTGCA